CAATGTTATTTTGACTGACAGCAATAAAACAATATAAGATACTGTAAAACAATAAACCATCTGCTTATGTAGTAGCTTAAGGTCAATATGGTAGTAGCGTGCGTATGAAAAACATAATTTTAGATTGTAAGAAATTTAATCACCACACTAATAACCAAATAAAGGTAAAATTATGGAACCTAAATATTTAAGCAATCTTAATAATGAGATTATAATCAAGTGTTTATAGTTGTATTTTATGGCTTCAATGAAAATAATAAATTTCCGATTGCAATGTTATCTTTTCTACACGAATTGCGTTGTTTACGTTTAATGTCAAAAGTAAAACTCAAAATAACTTGTAGGCCTACTGTAATTAAGTTCTAACTGATGTAATAACATTTACAGAAAGTAAATCCAAATCGTCTAAAAACTGAAACATGTATTTAGGCCTACATTCGTTCGCCTATTGAGTTTAATGATAATTAAATTTTCCAATCAATAAGATCATTACTTATACCATTTCATATAATCGAGATGATGTCTCTGTGATTGCCCATGATGTTCACTATTTTGCCGTGAATATAGACACGTGCCGTTCACAATCCCTACGCCACCGCGGTAGATGTCCATAATTTTACTGTGACTGCAGAAAACCCTTTTTAACAATTTGGCCAAGATTCCGGACTTAATATAAACCGATTATAGTAGCCTATATCAAAATTCATATATTTTTATTTCTGAATTAGTTCTGAAACTAGGTACCCGATTTTGATCTGATGCTCAAAGATCAAGACTGTTACTCAACCTGGAAGGAATGAAAAATGTGTGGTCCCGACCTAAGATCCCCAATAATATTACAATAAATAATACACTTATTATTTTATTAGCTAAGTCTCTCAAGTCTCTTTGCCGATCAGATCGTTGAAAACAAAAGGCCAATTCATTGAGTTAAAGCAATAACACCCTTAAGTTCCAACCTACCATAGAATCAGAATATAGAGGGGCCTCACTGGTGAGAGTAGCCGGGGGCCTCATCGGTTCTACGTATGGCCCTGTTTAGGACTGCCTGTTAAGAATACAAGTAGGCCTACATTGAAACAAATCAATTACGTTGGGTTTAGATTTTACTTCCAGTTGCAATGGCACCACTAGCTTTTTTAATTACTGAAAACAGAAAATAAACTTGTTTAGTTTTTAATATTTTTTAAAACCCGGTATTTTTATAGCTGTATTTTAAGGCAGTTTTTTAGTTTCCTCCAACTTTTTTTACCTCCTTGTGTATATGTGCAAAGGCAGCATGGCGGGCATTATTTTACTCTTAAGTTACCGGTACCGTAGGGTAGGCCTACTATGGCAGGTATGAGTAACGTCATCATACGCCTAAATGTCCCGCTTTGGAGGTCAGAAGTTTGAAATATTATATAGAATATGAAATTTCACATTTCCACATTAATTTTTTGTTTGTGTAAGAATACTAGTTAAGTAATTTTAAGGAAAACTAAAAGAGACCAACTGGGCTAGTTTATTTAGTTATCTGTACAACAAGCAAGTCGTCGATCGTGTGAGTTCGACTTAATTAGTTAATGCTCGGCCCTAGAACAATTTTTTTTTCACGCGACTGATTAAGCGCTGTACTACTGCCTCAAGACGCAGGTTGTCAATCAACTGTCAAGTTGTTTATTTTGCCTTAACCTTTACCTTTAAGCGATCATTCGGTGCAAAGAAAGTTTGTTATTTGTTTTTTTTTTTTTGTTATTGTTATGTGTTGCACTGTTTAATTATAATTCCCGCTCTTCTAATTATGTGCTTAAATGTCACTGACATCTAACCGCCATTTGTAAATTCAGGTCCTTAGCTAAGTTTCCGGTGTTTAATTACATGCACTTGGTATAGCTATCCTGTTTGAGGAGATTTCTAAATAAGGATAAGTTCCGCCCTAGGCCAATGAACTTAATTTAAATTCATGTTTTTATTTTCGAACACCCTAATAAATTAGGTTAAATATAATAGGGAACCCAATTAAAATACCAATTTATGTTTATGTCTAGATTTGGTAAAAAACGCTACACCGTAGTTTAGGCAAAGTGTGTCCCACTTTGGAGTCAAAAATATAGGCCTATGGTCGTGTTAGGTATGAGGCATGTAAGAAAGACCTTTTCCATTAGGCCTCTTTTATGCACGGCGTTTTCGGTCGGTCGAAATCGTAGGGCGGAATCGATGTCCCTTTTATGCAGTTTCTCCGCCGAGCGGAATCCGCTGATGCCCGTGGTGGGGGTGGTCAGTGCTACCAACTTCGTTCATTTTGCCATCGTCAGTGACCCAAGATGGATCCTTGTGTATTGGTGTATACTTATTTGTACATGAAGAGAAATAGACGACGGCGAAGGAGATGGGCTGTACACCCGGTTAATGAAAGTCGTAGGGTTTATGGGGCTTTCACAAACCTATATGGGTTGCTGCGAAATGATGGGGAAAAGTTTGAGAAGTTCCTACGAAACAGTAAGTTTGTATTATTCCGCGGATTTAAACAAAGATGTAATTAATTCTCATGCAGTAATTTTTTCCCTAATTACATCACTTTATTTGTACTCTTCAATCAATTACAATGAATAATGATATTATTCTATTTACAATGATTACCGGAAGGTGATTTCAATACTGTTGATGACAGAGCGTGGGGTAGGTTGGCAGCACTACATTCCGCCCGACGCAAAACGCAGTTGCCTAAAAGGGTCCCATTTAAACCTATGTTAAAACAAGCTCCGGCGAAACGCCGAAACTCGGCGGAGTCTAAGTCCTCCGTCGGCCTCCGACGGAATTCTGAAACGCGACGGAGATTCCGTCGTGCATAAAGGGGTCCCATTTGATCCCATGTTAAAACACTCACCGACGGAAAGCCCGATAGATTCTGATAGATTCCGCCCGACGGAAAACGCCGTGCATAAAAGAGGCCTTAGGCCTACATAGTTCACTTCCATTATGCATGAAAAAATACACTTGTCACAGATTAAGTTTCAACTTATGTTAGGCGTTTAGATAGCGACAGTTGTTGAGCTTTGTAAATTATTGTTGTCTAGCCATAGTTTGTAAATACCTTACTATACATGGTTTTATAAGAACAAGGTAACTTTATAATTTTAATACCGTACGTTTGTACCATCACTTAGCTAATGCGATATGTATTGTCAATTTGAGCTCAATAAAATGATTTGATTTGATTTGACATGATGTCCTGGTACTAACCTAACCTAAAATAGCCTGATCTTAATCAGGATTTTTTCTTAATTCTAACATTACAACCTGAAAAAGTCTAGTGGTAATGAATCAACAGAAAATTTCCTGTAAGTGGTATCTTATATGTTGAAAGGTACAATACCGTTACTGAATGAGCACTGATCCTTGTGGGAGACCATTATTGAGTTGCCTGAAAATATGTTCCTTGCCTCCTAGGAAACAAATAGCACTATCCTCAAATAGTTCAAGAAACGCTGTCAAAATAGTTCCCACGACGAATTTGTAGCCTACAAATTTTCTAGCGGTTTAGAATGAAATACATATGTTACCTTTTGGTTATTTATTTATTTCAAGGTACATGTTTTAGTCGGGTCGCCGGAATTTTATCCCCCTGGAATTTTACCCCCTGGGCAAAGCTGACGTCACTATGACGTAGGAACCTGAGTGGCCAAAAGTTTGTTCGCGGCCGGAATTTTACCCCCGCGGATTTGGAAGTCTAATGAAAATAGCCAGAGTGTGATTAATTAGATTAGCGATAAAAACCGGAATTTTACCCCCTGTCCATATAACTAGCGTTTAGACAACTAAAGATGTACGGGCCGGATTTTTACCCCCGGATTTTTACCCCCCGGAATTTTACCCCCTTGCCGATTTTAGAAATTGAATGATTGATTTTCTTATTTCTGTTTTTAATTAATTGTAAACATTTCATTATTTAGTAGCCTATCTTTATTTATTTATTTTGTAAAGAAATGTTCGAAACAATTATCATTCAGTTGATTGTTTATACGCCATATTAACCAACTGTAGGCTTCAAAGATCGAAATCTCAAAATTAAAATTAAAAACTTGTTCGATTAGTTAATGTTACAAATAAATTAATATACAGTAGGCTACTTTAATAATGAAATGTTTACTATTAAATTAAAACAGAATGAAGATAATTAATCATTCTCACTAATTTATATTATCTGGCCAGAAGGGAAAATTCCGGGGGTAAAAATCCGGGCCGTACACTCTAGGTTTTAATAATTTTATGTGTTCTAATTAAATTCACAACCGTGAAAATATATGTTTAATGCCGCGTTTAATCCATCGAGCTGATGTCGCGAAACTCAAAATTTTGCGGTCGGAATTTACCCCCTGGTTTTTGACGTCACGTTTGCCCAGGGGGATAAAAATCCGCCACCCCTTTTAGTCTATGTTAATGTAACCATAATCACCCACCTCAAGATGGCAAACATCGGCATTTATTAGTAAAGAAAAAAAATTATATGATACCAGTCATGTCCCTACTCAAGTCTTGACAACTATAATCTAACATTAATCCAATCTACATGCTACTTTTACCTGATTTTGCGTCATTTGCTATCAAAAGCCCATAAATTACCGATTAGATTTGCAAACTTATGGATCCGGCCATTCTCAGAGCTTTTTTGGTACATTGCAGAGTTAAACGCATGTAATCTTACTTTGCTGTCTTTTAAACCCTTGTTCTACCCTGTAGATTTAGTCAGACTGCCTGTGTATTGACTCCTCACGTCTATAAGTTTGATTGACTACCAAAAATGTTTTCCGAGTTAAGTTCATGCTGCCTCATCCTTATAAATGTTCCTTTACTAATATCATACATTGCTAAACACTTACTCCATTTGAGCAATTAGGCCTATGACTGCAGGGGTTTTAATGCAGAAAATAGATATTGATTTAATAGAAATAAATCTTTCCACAGTTTATTTTTTTTAACTGTGAATGCTGTTTACTGACATAATCAATTGTTTTCAGGTATATTTGGATGGGTGATCTGAGGGTTCAATGAATTCACCCCTACTTCCATACTGAGGTTTTGTCAAGAACCAACAATGAAACATCACTGTGTACTGCTTGTGATTCTGGCAATTGCTGTAACCTCAAAAGGAGCAATTTACCAAGATCGTCTAGATATTGAAAACCTGAAGAATTGGTTTCAAGATGAAGATTGCATCGAAGGATCACTTTCTGTCAGTGAAGATGGATCTCCAGTTATCGGGTATGTTACATCTGTACCACCATTAGTTTCTACAAATAAAACAAAGAGCAACAACGATCCTTTCAATTCTAAATCACCTATGAGCCTTCTATATGAGCTTGCAGAGTACAATAAAGTAAATGTTCAATTCACTTTAACTGATGAAAAAGGACCAGCGCATAAGAAACAGTTTGTTGTTTCGCTGAAAGTAGGAGAAGAGGAGTTTACTGGAGAAGGACCTAGTATCAAAATGGCCCAACGCGAAGCCTCCAAACTTGCGCTAAATTCTACTTTGTATGCACATCCTCCTCAAAGAGAAAAATCAGACCATCTTCCCACTAGTGTTATGTCTAAATCGCCAGTGGAAAAGTTGGATGTTTGGGCTAAAAAGCACAATGATGTTTTAGTTAAGTACTCTTATATTCAGCAATCCCAGATAGCAGACAGAAAGCATACAAATTATTATCATGTCGGAATGTACTCTGAAGCTGAAAACATTTTTAAAGCAAAAGTCATAGTTGGAAAACATGTTTTCAATGGCGAAGGTTTTTCTTTAGAACTTGCCAAGCAAAACGCAGCAAGTAACGCTCTAGAATCCCTACAGACTACAGACGGTTTCTGTATGTTGAGTGACAAAGAGAAGAATTTTTTTAACAAAGTGTTTAATTTTAACTCCGACAATGACTCTCCAGTTTCCTTGGTTCATGAGTTTGGGACAATCAGTAACATGCCTGTGTCGTTTGAGCTTGACAGTGAAGAAGGTCCAGCTCACATTAAGAGGTTTGTTTACCGCTGTAATGTGGGAGAGTTTGAATCGTTTGGTGAAGGTTCTTCGAAGAAAAGTGCAAAGAAAGACGCAGCTGAAAATATGATAAAAGAGCTCAAAAACAGTGCATCTAAAAATAGAATTGACTGTGAGGAAATTCAAAAACGAAGCAAACCAAAGAAAAAGCGATCAAAAAATCTTATCAAGGCAGTTTCTAAGTCATATTCAGAAGATTATGAAGAAGAGTCTAATGATGTCAACCTTATTCCAGATGAACTTGATCCTATTTCAAAACTCTATCAAATTCAACAAGCAAAACATGAAGCTCTGCCTGTATTCAATCTATTGGAAAAATCCGACAATGAATTTAGAGTGAAAGTTACAGTCAATGATTTGACAGCCACTGGCACAGGCTCAAATAAAAAATCTGCCAAAAGAAATGCTGCGCAAGCTTTGTTGACAAAGATGGGTTACTCCGCTTCTCATGAACGTGACCAAGCATCGGCACATAATAAAAAGAAAGAATTTAGCCAAGTCCGAGGATTGCCAAAGAAAAGTATTGTAGCAGGAATAAATTTAAACTCACACAACTATCATCAAGTAAAAGATTTTAAAGAACCTACCGTTGCTGCACCCAGTAGTAAAATAGATCAAACTCATGATCTGAAGGCTAAAATTTCTAAGGATGATAAAGTCCATTCTAAAAGCCAGTCAAATGACAGAATTTCAGCACCATCCAAAAAGTCAAACCTCAAACCTAAATCACAACTTCGTGATATTTCTCAGCAGATGGGTTTTAAATTTCAATTTTCAGACTTCTCCAAATCAGATAACAGTGGGTTTGTCAGTCTCCTTTCATTGACGACTAAGCCACTAAAGTTGTGCTATGGAGTAGGAGCAACCTCCGACCTCGCCCAAGACAAGGCTGCAGTTTCTGCTCTCGAGTCATTGTACAAAACCCAGCTTCGCAATCTCGCTCAAGTACTTCAACACAACACAGAATCTCATAAAGCAGAAATGGACTTTATTGAAGAAGATCACATTTCAAGATCTGGCATTGATTTGGAAACTAACTGAGAAACGAGCAAGTTGTTTCACAACACCTAAAATCTTTTACCTATTAGTGATATGTCCAAAGACTGAAAGTGTCCTTATTAGATTAGATTAAATACATTAGACACTTTGAAAACATGTGATTTTAGTTACTTGTTATTTCTTGATAATTATTCTTGTAACTTATTTGGCCTAATCCAGTAAACTAAATAATCCATATTTAAAAAAATCTAGATTTATAAAACAAACGTGTGTATACGGGTGTTTTTTTTAAACGCAACTAAGATGATTACAGCAACAAGAGACACTTTTTAACAAAACCAGCTCATATGATGGTATACCTGTTTTCTGTACTTCATTGCCAATTAAAATCAGCTAATATGCATTAATGCAAATTTATCAATGAAGTTTAGTGTTACTGACATTTTTTTGGAAATAAGACTCAATATTTTTGCAAGCTCAAATATAGCTTGAGAAAACACCAAGTTGAGAAGTTATTCACAATAAATTCTCAAGAACACTAAAATTTATAGATAACTATGCAACAATGCATATCAGCTGAATGACAATGAAATAAAGAATACAGGGATATCAAAATATGAGCTAGTTTTATTGTTAAAAATTGTCTTATGGTAGTTGTAACTAGGGTCGTGTTTAAAAAAACCCCTGTATTTTAAAGTAAAAATTGGTAAGACTAAATTTTCACATTATTTATTAGTAACTCTGCATAGTACATAAATGCTATGCATTTGTATTTTGTGTCCTGAAGTTGGCTATGTGTTTTCATGAGGCAGTTAAACTTGGTATCAGAACTTTGAATGTTTCATAGTACAAGAAAGATTTGGTAGCAACAGAAGTTTATGTGCTGTTTTTTCAGTGCTCTAAGGTCACATTTTGCTGGTTTTCCATTTTCCATAGATTTATGAAGTGTACTGACTGCACAACCTTACCAAGTGTAATTTAAAGCAACTTCCTTAGGTAAATAACATGTGTTATTTATGTATAGACAATGTAAATTTCTGAGCTCCTCTATTTTCGCTGTTGAAACCTGACCAAATTTGATAACCTGTATTTTTGTATTCCTGCTTAAAAAAGTTTATTTTGCTTTAAATAAAGTTACAATTGTGATGTTCTTTATGTAAATTCATAGGAAAAAAGATTGTTAACTGTTACTTTTTTTAAATAGGTAAACAAATTGCATTGATGCCATTTTGTTTAATTATTATTAATTTTAAGATGAACTTTGTTCTTTTTGAGTTTTTCCAAAATGCAATTGTTATTTTTTTGTTTGATTATTATTAGTTTTAAGTTTTACGATTAGTTTTGTTCTTATTGAGTTTGTTCCTAATGTTCTTCTCACAAGTTAGACTTTTTTGGATTTAAAAGTTTAAAAGTTCATCTTGTTTGTTAAGACGTTTAAAATAAATAATGAGTATTATCCACTACACTAAGTATTTGATTGCATACATTTTTGTGTATGCTTACTTAGTTTCAGAAGCAAATATAATTACATTTTGCTTTAAATACAGGTTCGAAACAATCTTTAAGTCAATTCATAGGAGAAAATGTTTCTGTTACTGTACTGTTTTAAAATGTAAACAAATTTCATTGTTGTAATTTGTTTGGCTATTATTAATTTTAAGATAAGTTTTGTTATTTTGAGTTTGTCTTTTACTAATGTTTTTCCTCAAGTTTGATTTGTTTATTGTCGTAGTATCAGTGATGCATTTAAAAGTTTAAACAAATTTAAAGTTTGTGTTAGATATAAAAGTTCATTTTGTATGTTTAAGATGACTGAAATGCTTAATTGTGGGTATTTTTTCTCTACACTTAGTAGTTTTTGTAAAAACAAAAAACCCTATGTTACAAAAAACATGAATGTTGAAAGTACAAGAAATGTTCAAATGTAGGCCTATTGTTAGTTTTTGTAAGATAACGTTTGTCAGTTATTATAGGTTATGTTTCTTGTTAAAATAAAAAAAAATTCAAAAATTTGTTTTGATTTTTTATCACATGTCAGCATTATCTGTTGTTTAAGAACTAAGGACCATAGGGTTTCTTCAAAACATTATTTTTACCACTTTCCTATTCTTATTCAACATTGCTGATCTTTCTAGCTGCAACAGCTATCCAATAGAGTAAATATGTTTCAAAGCGTTTTACAACTGTATATTTAATTTCACAAACGTATGAGTTACCAATCTCACTCTTCAGCTTCAGCTTTAATGTTGATTCACACACATCAGTCCAGTCACAGTTCAGTCTCAGATGCCTTCGCAATTTCTCAGTCAACCTGACAGTAATTTGGTTTCAGCCACTCTTCTGTCACTTTACAGTGTTGTTACAGTCAAAAATGTTGAATTTAAACACAATATTCTATAAAATTTCTATCGTCCCTCTTGTTTATTGTTACAAACATTCCTTAAAATATAAATTTGATCATTTAAATAAAAAAAGTACTATTTTCTAAAGAAATCTAAAATCGACTGACGGACGCCGGCACAGTGAGTGACGGAACTGCAACGGATGAGTGTAGATAGTGCAATAGAAAATCCATTAAAGAATATTTTTGTTAACTGTGACGTGACTGATATGTCTGAACTGTGACTTGCAGTAACTGATGTGTGTGAATCGACCTTTACTCAATCTTCTGCAGGTGTAGAAGAACAAGTGAGATTCTAAAATAAAAATGTATTTTTCCTAACTTGCCGTCTACTATCATTGGTACACAGAGAATGTATCATTTGAGATAGTTGTTTTTAAAAGTGGTTCCAATAAAAAAAAGGTCATAACTAAGGCAAATATATAACCACAAAGGCTTAAGCTAGCCTTAGAATTTAAATCCATTAGGCTACACTATTTGTAAAATATTTGTGTTATAAAATAGCTTTCAATTCAACAAAGCAGGGACCAAACAAATGGCTTACAAAACAGGTACGGCATTTAACAAAAATATAAGTTATTTGCCTGAAAAAAAATTGCATTTCAATCTTGGTGGTAAGGTAGAATTAAGTGTAGGCTTGTCATGGTAATTTCTTATATTATACGTAATAATGAGTCTTAAAACATTGCTTTTGTTATGTTCATGAGATTACTGTCAGCAAAAATGGTATTTCAAATTAATACCAGATTACTTCTTGAACATCTGGGGAAGTGAAGACCAGTACAAGCTTATAATGGTGCAGGAATATTAGGTGATAACTCCATAAACATATACATATATAACTATTGCTAGTATTTTTTTTTCATTTATACCTGATTTGCATACTAACTATACTGAAAAGTAGTCTTACAAGTTATTGTTGCCTTTTTTATTGGTAACAAGAGAGCTTTGGTTGAATTCTATTTTTCTTTAAAGTACATGATACACTGAGAGTAATACACAGAAAGACAGTGGTTGTTGACAATCGTCAGTCCTTAAAATGGCATACTTTGAACTATGACAGTCAACTTAATCAGTGTTAAAGTCTAACATTGTCCAATACTGGTTACAGTGGCAGCATGCAGACTGCAGTAGTTTACCTATAGCAATACAGCAAATTCTTTTACTCTACTCTTGGCAACAAGCTGACGCAGAAACTTTGGGATGATATTGGCAGACAGTTCCTTTGATAAGAGAATCGACGACTCCCACAAAGACTCTCACAGTGACTCCTTTGTTTGTGTAGAAGAATGTTCGCAAGTCGCATGAGAGAGCTGCCAGTTCTCGGTCTTTAGTGAGGACGAGATCACTGACGTAGCGGAGTTCCGTTGACACAGCGACCTGTGCCTGGGTGAGTGGTCCAAATTTGCTGTGATCACCGTTCCAACAGCTGATAGCATTGTTGTTGAGGTCGCTGTAAAACATGACACCTGTCTTCTCGTCCATCACCTGAGCACCGGGAGTACAATTGGAGCAACGTTCGCCCAAGTAGTGAAACAATGTTGAGCTTTTAGAACTGCAATAGTCCTTGTCTCGTAGGAACTTGGTCGAGGTGATAAATTGTTTGTTACTCAATTGAGGGCTTGCGTACAAATTGCGATGACGATCAGAGTACATTCCGCTGAGACAAATCGAATCTATATTTACTCCTGCAAATATTTTTTTACCCTCGACAAGAAAACTGCTTTTCAAAGGTTCGAGTTGAAGGTAATTATTTTCTATTCTGTACGCTATATTTTCTGCGTAGTTGTACACAATTAACCCAGGAACCATAACATCTGTTATGTACGCAAAAGCTTTGTTGCAAGTTTTTGGCGTTACATCCACTACTATCTTTCCCAGAGATGAATTTTTTGTATTTGCTACAGAAGCATCAAAATTGTGAATACGCAAGAGTTTATCTGTTTTTAGGTCAAATATCAGCAATTTTGGTTTTTCAATTTGGGTTCTGTTAGTCAGTTTTTTATCGTATCCACTATCTATGACCCATAGTCTGCCGCATGAATCCACAAATGTACGTATAACGGATATGATCTTGTACGGATATTTGCTTTTTCCATATATGTCATTAGCTTCCCAACAAGGATAAGGACTCAAGGGTGCATTCAATTTACCATGACCTGAAAAAGTGAAAAATTATAAGCCTTAATAAAATAGTACAACTCATTAATTGTTTGATCTGTTGAAAACTAGAAGAGTACCCGTCCTTCGTACGGGGTTGGCATATAAGTATGAAATGCTTAATGCAGTTATACTCGTGCTCTGCATTTGTAGTGGGAAGGACACATTTTGAGAGAATTTGGTTCTTTAAATTTAAGGTATGCTATAGTTTAACACATCTACCATACCCATAATGTTCTACCACTGCACCTAAACAATAGAAAAAAGTAAATTATCAAACATTCGTACAACATCAACAATTATTTATTAAACTTAAAACATAAACATAATTGTAAACAATCCTACTTTGACAGTTCTCATTCCCACAGCTTTTTGTTGCTGCTTAGTTTAAATTAGCTGTTTTCATAAGTATAAAAAAATAGTGCTGCACTCTGTTGGGATCGATGTTAAAACCCCATTTTCAAATCCGTCAAAGCGCAATTGTACATAATTTTTGTAAATCTAAATGTTTCCGCGTGTGTTTATGTGTAATGTAATATTGACAACGGCAAGTGCAAGAAGATATGTTTGACGGTTTGACTACTGAAGATTTGAAAATGGGGTTTTAACCCTGAAACTATATCGTCATAACAAATATAGGATTGATTGATGACAGATTGTAGTAACCTCATTTTATGCTATTAAGATAAAATCATTTGAAAACTGATCATGTTCAGTATTGGGACAGGAATGGTGTTCCCATTCTGCTTTTTCCATTCAACCCCGGTTTTTCCTCAACTATGTTATTCTTTTGGAGAATAAGTCAACTGTTGTTGTTTGCTTGTTTATAAGCATATTTTGATCACATTCGGAAAATGCATTTATTTTATACTAAGCTATAAACATTTTACAAAAAAAACTTTTTTACCCTCCCTGTTGCAGCAAACCTAGAGTACTCGTTAAACTAATGCTATTTAAATAGGGAATAAATGTGATATTTTTAAGGAGACATTTTAGTGTAAATCCAGTTAGGCAAATGAAAATTAGATTGCAGGTTTGCTGCGGTGGGGTATTATTCACTATTAAAGCCAAGCACCACTTGGTAGTGATGACTTACTTGTGTTTTTTTTTTAAGGTAACTGAGTCAGACCACACCAATCTTCATAATAATTATGCCTAGATGTAATTTTATACAAGCAAGTAGTTTTTAGTTCCAAATTGTGCATGTTTAACTATTGAAAGGTTTTAAGTATCAAAAAATTACTTACCTATTTTAACTGTGTTTAGGGTACTCAAAACTCCAGGCATAAATCTAGGGATGGCCATAATCATTTCCTTCTTGTATGGATGAATGGCTATTCCCGTAGGAACATTATTCTTTGGTATAAATTTACCAGTAGCCAACAAATTTTTCAACAGTTTTTGATTCTTAAAGACAAATTCAATATTTTCAGGACACCATTCAAAAAGCTTCTTTAGCTTTCCTATATCTTTTCCATAATTTGATTCAATTGCGATGGTAACTGTGATGAAACAAATGATGAGAAGTTTCATCGTAACCTGAAACCAGTTGAAACTTCATTATTAGATTTGTAAACTTTCTTAAGATTAAGATTGATACTTTTTGGAAAGTATCTTTTAATGTAGCCTACTCCATATTCATTTCACTTTCACCTTTTTAACTATGGCAAGACTTTTATAAAAATTATAAACTAATTAAACTAGCCTCGATATTTTACTTCTTATTGAGCTTTGTGGTATCAAGCATCCAGAGTACAGTACCGTAATTAAATGTAAGAAAAATAGAAACATGCACTCTGGGTTGATGGTCAAGAAACTAGTTATTGATGTTTTTCTGTAATTTTTAAAGAAAATCTAGCTTTCTTTAGCCATTATAATATTGAATTGGTTGTTTGCGTGTTGATGTCTCATGGTAAAAAGTCCATAAAAGTCAATCTTCCATAACTGCAGACATCTTCCATAAAAAACTCAAACTAAAGCCAGATAATTGTATTTCTTCAACACTATGTGAAATAAACATCTCATGTTATACAATTTCACATTTGATAATGCACAATTCCTTAAGAAAAATTAACCTATCACCAATTGATATGGTATAAAACCACTTCTTATACTGTAATTATAGCAACACACCAAATTTAATTGGTTTTTTAACTTTTTTGAATAAATATACATCCTTGATTTTTAAATTGTTGTAATCTAAATTAATTTAAAATAAATATTAATAAAATATATAAAATTATAAAATAAATAAATATTATCTTGTCATTATAGTTTAAAAAACAAAATACTGCCATTGACAACTATTTTATAATTTAAGATAATTATTGGGTTTATTATTTTTTTTTTACAAATCTTGTCAGCATCAGAAAATAATTATCCTCTGCTAAAAGTCTGTTTCATAATTGTTGTAGCACTACTTTTACTGCAGAATTAACTTGAAGAATATTTTTACCAATCCTGTTGTAACAAACATATAAGGTTAACCTAAGTTCAACATAAATTGAACAGCTGATGATAATACATAATTTTTGACATTCTTCACATGTTAGTTGTTTTTATTTTTAAAAGGCAACTGTATAATCTTTTGATGATTCATATTTCACAAAATCCGGAAATATTAGTTATTTTGCAATCGTAACATTTCATGCTATTTGGAATTTCCATTTAATAACTTGTTAACTTCTTATCACATGTATAAAGTTCAAGTTAGTGATAAAGACTATGAATCTTATCCTACAAATAACATTACATGAGTCACCAAAAAATTAAACTAAATAATTACTGAGATAATTAAAGATTTATTTGAAACAACTATAAATTTTCTTTAAATTATTGGAAAAAAATTAATCTATTTAAGAGCTACAGCTATAATTAAATAATAACGGAAAACCTAAGAATAAACATAAAGAGTAAGTTTGTAATTTGTTTATTTATAATTTCTTTGTAATTTAGTTCAATTTTTTTATCCTTAGTGTGGCTTTGTTTGTTCTCTAAAGGAAGATTTTTCACACCATAGTTTTTTTACATTATCCACCAAATTAGGTAAAAAATTAAAAAATGTAACTTACCAATGAGATCCTTTCACGGTTTAAATATTACCTATGTTCTTTATAGAGACAACTGCCAAAGAAAACTACCTTCTAGACATTTTCAGCTGATCATGGAAACTAAATCTAGGAGTTTATCTTATGACCACTTGTTAAAGCAGTTTGTTTATTTTTTGCCTTAGAGTTTTGACTTATCAAAGTGTTTCTGCAATAACATGTGTTTGAAAGCCACTTGTTAAGAGTGAAATGAGGTACAAACTAACTTGTTCATGTTAAATAATGTAAACAAACAACAAAATAATGCAATAATTTGGTCTCCCTAAAATCTGTACTGCAACCACATTTCAGTAAAGTTTGTGGAAGTATTCTAACTAATCTTGGTCTAACTATAAAAGCATATTTAATTCAGGTTAACTATAAAATATTAAGATGTAATTGCCAATTTTAGGTAAACTTTAAAACTTAGATAAAATAAAAATAAACTATATGAATAACAAATCATTATCATCCATTCCATAATATAACATTGGGGAGAACTATCTAATTACTATGTAGAGCAAGGGGTGTTGGTAAAATTGTATTTACAAAATATCTTTTTGGGTGCACTCTGCACTCCCCCCCCCCCTTACGTCAAAATCTATCTTAGGAAAACGAGAGATTATTCTAAATAAATTCCTAATAACACTAAAACTCAAAGATAACTATTAAAAAAAAATCATATCAGCTGATTGGCAATGAAAAAAATTACTGATGGCTAGGAAAAAATAACTTTCTTACAATGATAATCATATAATAAAAAAAACTTGAAGGTTTTTTGACAACTTTCGTTCATGTTGTGGTATTTTGGACCTAGAATGAAAATTGAAACCTACCAGTGATACTTTTGAATGGCTTTTATTTGTGTTTTACTAAACTAATAATTGTTTTTTTTTACAATTTCATTTTATGTTAAATAACAACTACACTTGGTTTTTATTGTGTATATAATTTAGAGGTATTGGTTAGGGCACTGCTTTATGATCTTAAATATTACTGTGCTCTTTGAAAATTAAATACTGTATGTAGATTTTCCTATTTGGCAAAATCCTCTAAACATAAACAAAATATGTAAATCCTATAGCCTAATGATAAAACAGATTATACTTTAATCACTTTTCATTGTGATTTAAAAGATTTTCAAGAATTGTTTTATTCTTATGTTTATTTAATATAAACCTGGAATTATGCGAGTTGTCCATGCTAAGAATAAATAATGTTTATGCAACAATAAACCAAGATGGCGGCTTGCGAGGATCTTGCAAGGGTCAAGTTCAAGGTCACTGGACAATGCGTTGTGTCAAGTTATCACATAGTCCTGCCTTATCTCACCATCCCCATCGACATGGTATTGTTGTCTGGAATTTGATTATTATCAACACAAGTTTATACTTGTCCACTCGACTCTATTATAATAAAATGTTGATACTCGGTCTATGATTTAGCGATTGTGTCTGAAAAATGCTTGAGAATCTTCTGTGATTCATTACCAATGATATTGATAGCAATTTAAAAAATCATCAATGTTTGAAAGATGTTCTATAGTATTTCTTTGACAATTTTTGGAACTAGTAAATTCCTCCTCTAGCTGTCCTAGCTATTTAGTAATACCGTACTACATCTCCTTTTAATTTTATTTTGGCGTAGAATTTTTATTTGAACATTTAATCTTATCAGTGTGTAATACAATTTAGTTTACCTTATCACCTTCCTCTTTGAAGATGCATATAACCACAGCCACCTCTAATATAACAAGATTTAGCAACAAGCTATCTTCATTCGTTTCTGAAGGATCATTGAACTTTAAACTCACTTGCCATTCAAATAGTAAGATTTACCTCACAATACCCAATAATATTTCAAATTGCATACCTCCGAGTTTGTGTATTTTTTAAACTGACTGAGAATTTCAAAGGAAAACCCATAAGAAAGCTTTAAAGCTGCATATTTAGAAGTTAAGAAAATTCCAGAACGTTCTCGTACCATCCCGCATTTTATGATTTTTTATGTCATTATTATGTACATAACTAATTGCTATAAGGTTCAGAAATAAACAAATGTTAATTCTGTAACGTATAATTGCTCAATATTCCGAAAATGTTTGAAATTAATTAATCCGACAATTCGACATTGTTCACAGTTATCCAGAAAAATAATCAATAGTTATTTTACAAATTTCGATAAAATACATATTTTAAAATATTCCCACTACAATCCCACGCCATATGTAACATTCATTCATTTTAATTAAAGCCGAACACGTTTCGCAGAGTGTTCAACAGGCGTCATCAGGGCGAAGCCAATTTCATTTTATGACGATGTAAATTCTCTCGCGCCGCCCCTTGCGGTGTTTGTGAGGTCATCTAGAGTTCGCTCCTTCGTCCAACAATCGACTTTGTTCTAGGTTTGGCCAATCAATAACTAGACTGAAGAGTACCAAAGCCATAGAAAAGCCCCAGTATTCCCATACTGAAACATCCATCACGTCTTCAGTAGCCTAACTTAAGTATATTGCGAACGTCCTCCAAATTCTGCAACAAATTAATTAACGTTGAATAATCTGTTTATTTAATGACCCCATAATACATGATTAAACAGTTCTTAAAATAACCTCGAATACTTTATTGAATTATCTATATCACTAAAATGTTAATGCAAATCATCTTTGGAATACTGTTTGCTATAGTTGTCAGTACGTTTATACCAAGAGTACAATTCATCAATCAACAAAATCGTTGAAAAAATGTTTAGCAAAATTGTACAAATTACGACAAGCAATGAATGATTCCAACAGGTATAACCTTAAAAGTGCCTTAGAAACTTCTACGATTGTCGTTAACACTAACGCGAGTTGTGTGAACTACTTTACCTACGACAGTATTTTAATTACTAAAAATCAATACTCATAAATTCTAAGAAAGGTTGTGTTTTCGTGTACAACCTCCCATTGCCACTGACAGTGAATAGTGATGCAATGAAACATTTACCTAACACTAACTAATTACACCACTCAACAATTAAATTAGCCTGAACAGCTGATTAGTTGAAGTTCGAATCATTACAATTTTACTTCTTCTCTCTCAATCCTCGAACCTCATTGGTCTGTTACCCGTGTTCTTTATGAGTAAAACTACGCTGTTATGAAGTAAACAATGCTGTTATGTGAAACTTTTCAATTCTAAGAACTGAGCTGAAATGGCTACTTTAAAAAACGTTCGTAGGTAAAGGTAAGTAATGCAATCGCTGATCTTAAGCCGGCAACGCTTATGTTATAAAATAAAAGAACAGTCGAAAGAAACAGGTAAGGGAAAGAGTGTCCCTAAATTTTAGAATTGTGGTAATTTTAGAAAAGTGGTAATTTGACATCGTAGTTCTTAATCACAGTTTGAACACATAAATCAGCTGTTATTACGACAGTATTTCTCTTATTTCACCTTATGTTCACACGGTTAGAAAAATACAATTGGTACGAGGATGGAATGAGATATCAGTTCAAGCTTGTAAAAACTACAGTAGTTATATTATTTGTCCGTGTTCGCCGAGCAAACATTAAATGAGTGATGAGGTTTGTTGGAAAGAAACAATGGCTTGTATTAGACGATAAATCTTGCATTTGCCGAGGGACGACCATTGCATCATGCTGGAGTTGATCATGACACAATACGAGCCTTCGGTGATCAACAAGCAGCCTCCAGCGATCAACATGCAGGATCCTCATCTTTGATCTGAGGACTGTTGATCACGCCTTACGCCTGGGTTGTTTGTAAATAAGTTATACTGTGTTGCTCTGTCAAATGGATATATATTCTGTAATGTGTTATAAGGGGCTGCAGTATTTTTGTCCTACTTTTACATTCAAAGACGCTATACTATACAGGGTGTCCCGTAAGTAAACAGCCAAACTCCTGACTAGCTTTTGCCTTATTCTACCCCATTTTACAACTAAAAATCGTAGTATTTCAGCTATTTCGATCTTTTTGAACTTGGTATCGTTTGCTAGGGAATTTAAAAAAGCTAAATAAAAGTGTTCTTGGAATTTTTTCATAAAATCAGCCGTTTTTGAGTAATTTAAGTTTAAAAGATTAAAATGGCAGCCATTTTGAAATTTTAAGTTGAATCAAGATGAAATTTTTTTCTAACATTGGTCTTTTCTACCTCAACCTACATACCAAGTTGTATAAAGATCGGGTGAAAAATTCAAAACTAAAAATTGTTATGTAAAAAATACAAAATGGCGGATATCTGGTTATTGAAGCAATTTTGGAAAAATGTTATTCTTCATTTCCTCTTTATTTTGACCCATAGAACCATTAACCGGAGTTTGGCTGTTTAATTACGGGACACCCCTCTATAACCGGGAACCGTCTAACAAATTACTACATAGGGTCATGCTTGGTATTATAAATTACATAAAATCACAGACTGTCTGTGATAAATCCATTGGTGATTGGTGATTGGGGAGCGAGCTGGTCTAGGTAGAGTGCGAGCTTCAGTGCCCGAGGTCACGGGTTCAAATCCCGCCAATCGCCAATGGAGTTTATCCATGTGATAATGCCGCAACTTTCTACGACTAGCCTGAAGTAATGAATGTGTAAAACTGTTCAGGGATAGAACTAGCGCCTAGGATGTGAAAGTGGGACATAAAAAATTGGTGATTGGTGGGATTTGAACCCGGGACCTCGTGGACCGAAGTCCTGCGCATACGTGGTCTAAGAATTAAATCTATGGACATTTAAAAAATCAACTGTACTGTTAACGCAGACCTTTTGTCAAATGAAAAGAAAAATAGAAGCTTAAAAAAATGCTAGTGAACAATTATAATAAAATTTAAAATATGGAAAACAAAATTAAATTAAAATTTAGAACAAAATAAATAATGTAGCTTGGGCTCAAAAATGCTCCAACAACGAGGCTCTATAGTCTATATCCCAATGTCAAGTGCCTATTCTTATCAACCACTTCATATTTTCAACATATTCATCCTAAAACCTGCTTCTACGATCTTGATATAACATCTTATCTTATTTATTTAAAATCCACTTCTTCGAGTAATGCAGGCTGCCACGATAGAAAATTTCCTCTCA